GGTGTGAGACGAGACGCCCTCTTATAGGCTGGTTGCCAAAGATACCCCCCCATCCAAACACACGCATGCACATAAATCCCTGGCTTAGCCTCAACCCAGTGCTGGGATTACCGGATTAGAACTCTATTCCATTATCTCCCCACACTATACAGTGCACGCGCAGACACACACACAATGACACACTGTCTTGACCAGAGAGGACAAACTGAAGACGGGCTACAGCGTCAATCACAACAGACATCATTTACACACCCACAGTTACTCCTGCTTTTAGCACCAGTGGGTGACATCTCGTCTCTTCATATCACCATTAGGCACAGCGCTCGTGTTGTTTTTAGGATGTCAGCTAAATATGTAAACTTGGGTGTCTTTGGCAACAAAGCAGCTAAACCTTAAAAGTAGGGAGATCAGAGATCGGCCGATACTTAAATGAGAAACCGATTTTAAGAATTTTAAAAAAAAGTTTTAACAATTGTCTAAACTTCATTTATATTTCACAGCACTACCTCATGGACAGTTAAAACAAGTTTGTATTGTTCTACGATATTGTTCATGGGTATGTTTTTCAATAAAATAAGATTAGAAAATTGAAGGTGCGTTGTGACCATCTAACACCTGACAGTGCTGTTTATAAAACTAAATCCGTATCGGCCAAATTCAGACAACCTTTGTCCTTCAGTGTTTCAACGTGTAACGAGAGCTCAAGAGAAAAACCGTGTACAATTTCACATTAGTAAGTAAGTAAGTAAGTAATATTTATTTATATAGCACCTTTCACAGACAATGACATCACAAAGTGCTTCACAAAGTAAAAGTAAATAAAATTAGGCTGAAAACTTTCTCGTAAGCTAACCCCCACCCAAAACAATAAATAAATAAATAAAAATAAAAACACTTCAAGACTTTTTTGTCCAGGTGGCACGGTTGGTAGAGCTGTTGCCTCTCAGCAAGAAGGTCGCCGGTTCAAATTCTAGCTCGGGACCTTTCAGGGTGGAGTTTGCATGTTCTCTCCGTGCATGTGTGGTTTTTCTCCGGGTACTCCAGTTTCCTCCCACAGACCAGAATCATGCATGTTAGGATGACTGGTAACTCTAAATTGTCTCTAGGTGTCTCGCTTGTCTCTATGTGTCCCTGTGATGGACTGGAGACCCATCCAGGGTGTACCCCGCCCCTCGCACAGTGATTGCTGGATACGGGCACCAGTGACCCTCACGACTTGAAAAGGAAGAAGCAGGTAAAGATAATGGATGGATGGATAATGTCCCCACCACTTTAAATTGTTTGTGTGGCAGCAGCGTCAACATGTCGGACACTCGGATCAGCACAATCACTTCACTCAAGCCAAACTGTCAGAGCAGGTCCTGCCTGCAACCTCTGCAGCTACGTGCTGAAGGGAAGAGTTTCTGTCAGATGTTAATTTAAACTAGAACAGACTAAAGTTGACTTCACATAGTCACTTGTTTTTGAAGCTGAAAAAGATAAAGTTTAAACATTTTGGTAATTAGTTTGAGTTGAGCAAAAAAAAAAAAAAAGAAAGTATCAAAGTTTGGGTTTAAAAAACTAAATGCCAGACTTTACAGTTTACAGAGTCCCACTTTTCTTTCTAGGCACGCTGCTTAATCATGTCTGTGTTCATCAGTGCGAGCAACATGTCGCTGTGACTAAAACAAGGAAGAAAACACACGAAGGAGTTTCACTCGAATGTCCTGAGAGTTTCCACAGCTCAGAACCTGAAACACTCGTGTAGTTTTCACAGCTGCCGAGTCTGTCCGTATTTATTTTATCTAGTTTTTTATTTTTTGTAATTTTATGATCAGCTGTTTGGATTTTCAGTGACAGCTGTTTTGACTGCCTTTGGTGAAGTGTTTTTATTATAAACCAGGTTGAATCGTGATAAATAGGAAAACATAACAAATGAAAATAAACAAGTACGGTAAGTAAATAAAATAAGTATTTTCATTGCAAAAATTCCAGTAAAAATCGTTTTGACTTAATGAATAAGATACGCTAAGAAAAGTTGATTTTATATTTCCGTATGAATATTTTAATGCAAGACATCTGGAAAAAGTAAGAAACGTTTTTGTGTTATTTTGTACTGTGAAAATTAGTTTTGTTTTTATTTTGGACTCTTCTAAAAATCAGTTTGACCCACTTTTTTAGTTTGAAATGACTTATGAGAAATCAAAAAGGACAAAATACAAGTCAGCTGAGTTTGTGGCAAAAATAAATAAATAAAATACAAATATTGCCTCATCTCTGTCCTGTGATGTCCTTAGTCTTGTCCCATCTCATGAAACAAGTGTCTCATTTTACCCCTCGTGTTTTATAATTCCTCCCTCCACACACGCACACGCGCACGTACACACACACACACACACACAGCATAACACATACAGACAGCGATCAAATGAAAAAAATAAAGCACTGATGCTCAATGATGTCAACTAACAAACATCTTTAGGATTTGATAGCCTGTTAAAAACTGTAAACGGAGTTACGTAGATGGAGGAGTGACCCTTTGCCTCCATGAAATAAATGAGATTATTAGTAGTATTGTTAATATGGTTTTCTTTTGCACTGGTGGTGTGTGAACGTAAGAAACCAACATTCCGACATCCAATCGGCAGACGTGAGTATTCAGATAACTTTGACCTGGTGCACATAGAGTTCAGAATCTCGCCTGAAGAAAACTTTAACATGTGATCTGAAGAAGCAGCAACGTTCCGATAGAAGGACGACTGCTGCAGATTCAAGCTCCGCTGATAAAAAATATGACTAAGCAAAACAATGTTAGAAATACAAAAGTCATTTCAATTGTAGAAACTAGGTAAATAATGTGCTTTACAAATAACACTGGTCTGTCTGTCTGGAGCACTGAAAATAATGTAATTCAATTCAGTTTATTTGGAAACCACCAACCAACAACAAAAGCCATCTCAGGGCACTGCACAAAGACGTCCAAATCATAAATCCAATTCAGTTCAAAACATAAGAGTCATTACAATGACAAATTTACCTCTGCTATGCACCTTATTCCTGAGGGCTCTACTGTATAAATGAATCAACAACTTCCTGTCAGACAGGAAGTAGCAGTAAGCATTGGTTAACCATGGTAGCAGAGCACGGACCGTGGTTTATTTGAAAGAATTCCCACTCAGTTCAGCAGATAAAACTGTTTTTGTTTTGTTTAACTTTATTTAACAACCATAAAGTTTACTAAAATAGCCGTGCTGCGTTCAGGTACCTGTTGTGTTCACAGCTGCAGAACAACCAGACCAAGCTAAATCAGTGGCTACAACAACAGAGTTTTGAACATGGACCCAAAATAATAAAATAGTGTTCCTGTGAAAAGAGGTATAGTTTCCATCTCCTACCTACAGATGAGGAACTAAGAAGAATGTGGCTGAAGAATCTGAACTTGAAGAGACCACCCAAAACTCTGTACGTGAGCTCATTTCACTTTGTTGACAAACAGTCAACGGAGGAAAACCTGCATCCTACTTTGTGTCTGGACGACAATAAACCACCGCAGAAGAAACTCCGGAGCCTCAGAAGGATTCAAAACAGTGACGAGAGCATCAGGTATGATTTCAGGTGTATGGAGGACACAGATTTATAGAATTTGTTCATCTTTAGTTTTATGATTTTCTCTGTAACTAATCCAAGCTCAGTGATGGAGGACTTTAAGTCTTTGACTGGGCTCGGTGTCTGATTCAAGATTGTGTCCCACCTCTTTTAACAAAACACCACCTACCTTATTACTGTGTAGATACTGATACACCTCAGAGCTTTTCAGGTTGTTCATCGCTTCACCGTCAGAAGAAACGAGTCAATGAAGTAGCTAAATGTGCTAGTACATGTAGCTAAATGTGCTAGTAGATGTAGCTAAATGTGCTAGTAGATGTAGCTAAATGTGCTAGTACATGTAGCTAAATATGCTAGTAGATGTAGCTAAATGTGATAGTAGATGTAGCTAAATGTGCTAGTACATGTAGCTAAATATGCTAGTAGTAAATATGTCTATTGTTGTCATTGTTGTCATCATTCTTTGTTGAAATCAGGTCTCTCTTGTAAATGAGTCCTCAAGGCTCAATGGGATTAACGTGTCTAAATAAAGGTTGAATGAATGAAAAAAATATGCTAGTAGATGTTAATCTGCAGCCACTTCTTCAGGTCCTCCTCCATCCCTCGTCCTCAGCAGACAGCAGTATGAATATATTGTCTGTTTGAGCTCTGACAGGTGGTGTTCCTATGTTTAAATTAAATCCACAATGCTTAGAGAAACTACATTAGCTCGTACTGCTCACACAAAAACAAACACTGGTTCTGGTCCGCGCCGGAAGCTGCGCCCATAATTCACGCAAGGCAGCATGAGAGCTAGGAATAAAGTGGATATAAACTAAAGTATACTGCATAACATTTTCAGTTTTATGACATTTATAGTAAAAAAAAAAAATTATTCACTTTACTTTAGTATGTGTTATTTTTGACTGATAGGTTTAGAAATTTGCACAATATGTTTTTAAATGAAAGGACTGGGCATATAGTTTTCTGACTTCCTGTCAGCTACGTTAGAAAGAAAGAAAACAATAACAAATCTTACTAAATTAAAGATAGTTTAAAATGTTTGCATTGCTAGCTATTGTAGAAATAAACTACACTGCTTAATGGACGTGACCAGTCCCATGGTAATTTAGAGGCTGCAAGTTCGGACCCGGCTGCGTCAGGGTAGGCGTCCAGCACAAAACAATTGCCAAATCTTTCATTCGACTTCACTCGCTGTGGCAACCCCTGCAAAGGGGAGCAGCTGAAAGTAAAACAACAACTTGAAGGAAGTGACCCTGAATTAGACACTGACATCAGGAGGTGTTGGGAGTGGTTTCACACTCAAGATTCACCAACAAACATGGTTTACATGAGCGTCAGCAGACATTCAAAACCCATAAACGCTTCACTTGACAGTGTGTTTAAAAACTTGGCAGAGTCCATCTGTCACTTACATAATCATGGAAGGCCTTTGCCTCACTGGAGTGTTCACACGTCTCTCTTCGGTCTGGAGCTGCGCAATACAAATCCCAGAAAACACTAAAATGAAGAGGGGAAGAAGAGGTCAGAGGTTACCAAACAGAGCAATACAAGCACATGTGTAACAGCTTTTCATCATAACCCATTCACACACTCTCATTATCTCTCCCAGCTCTCTTAAACCCACCTCTTATACACTTGAGCATCTTTGTAAGAGGGACACAATGGCAGTGTCACCCTCTCAATCAACCCCTCACTCACTCAAACGTACGCACACATACTTGTATTATCACCCTCGCATGGATCTCCACGGCCCATATCCATTTCTTGAACTCACACATTTGCCATGACGCTGCCCTGCATGAGGAGCAGATGTGACCAGCTCGTTCCCAGAAGACCTGCAGCGCTACCATTTCAAACAAATCTGGCCCTGATTTAATACGAATATAATGCAACAATAAGGACAACGTCAGGTTTATGTGAAGGGAAATAAAATTGCTTAGTCTTCCCTGAATTATTCTCCGAGCACTGATTTAACAAAAACACCACAAAGCCTTTGGAACACCAGCGTAGTTATTAGGAGGGCTAATCAGTCAGACACTTCACATGCCCTGACGAAGTACCGGTACTTTGTTCAGACATGTTGTACGCCAATTATCTGGATAATTTCATTCAGTTATGCAGGTCATACGGCTAAAAGACTTTTACAAAACAGTATTAGACAACTTTATGAAGAAAATACTACTTGTTCTAAATAAAAGCACTTAAACAGAAAAAAAAAAGATCTCAGCTGTTGAGTTATTCCAATCTAATGTTCCTTTAAGGACAAATGACGACATGTTCTCATGAAAAAAAAATACTGTAAGCTAGTAAAGACAACAACAAAGCTTTTTGGACAAAATGCTAAACTATATTTAATTCAATTCAGTTTAGTTTATTTATGAAGCACCAAGTCATAACAGAAGTCATCTCAGGGCACTGAACAGAAACATTCACATACAGGTCCTTCTCCAAAAATTAGCATATTGTGATAAAGCTCATTATTTTCCATAATGTAATGATAAAAATGAAACTTTCATATATTTCAGATTCATTGCACACCAACTGAAATATTTCAGGTCTTTAATTGTTTTAATACTGATGATTATGGCATACAGCTCATGAAAACCCAAAATGCCTGTCCCAAAAAATTAGCATAT